CAGCAGCTGCGTGAGTGGCTTGTTCAGCGCGCACACCGTCGGAGTGGGGCTCCCGGAGCTGGCGAGCCTGGAGACGCTGGAGCTGGAGGTGCTGCTGTTACTACTGGAGCTAGAGACCCTACGGAGCCTGGAGCAGCTGGCGCTGGAGGCGCTGGAGCTAGAGTAGCTGGAGTTGGAGGCCCTGGCGCAGGAGGCGCTGGAGGTGCAGGAGCTGGAGCTGTTGACCCTGGTGCAGGAGGCACTGTGCGGCCGCGCCCTTACTTCGTTCCCCTGCTTCAGCAGGTTCTTGGTGTCCCGTCTTCTACTGGTCTTCCTCCTCCCTTCCTCTTTAGACCGCCTGACCAGTCGCAGCCACCGTTATAGCCAGCCTCCCCACTGCCTGTTCCCTCTCCTTACACTGAGCAGTCTGGAGGTCTTACAGAGCGTCGTGAGCCTGCGTCTCGTCCTGTCTCACCTGTTCGCGCTGCTCGTCGTGCTCCTCGTTCGCGTCCTCCTCCTGTCCCAGGCACACACACCATGGCATTCCGTCCTTCCTCTGTTCCACTGCGTGTTCCTCTGCTTGCACCTCCTAAGTCCTCTCTTCCTGCGGTCCCTGACCCTGAGTCTGACCGAGCGCGTGCTGCCAGTCCAACTGTCGCTCGTCTCCTTGCCACTGCTGTCACTGACCCGTCCTTTGAGTCTGCTGCTGCTTCTGCTCTCGTTGCTGAGCTACTTGGCTTTGCTGCTGCCTGCTGTCTCGACTACGCCTCTGCTCTAGTTGCTGAGTCTGTGCCTGCCAATCCTCCGTCCGTCGGGGGTGAGTGTGCTCTTGGCACGGACGTCCTTGAGGACAGGCAGGAGGACTTTGAGTGTCTTGCAGCTGCCGTACCTCGTTTCGCTTCCTTGCTGCTTGCCCCTGAGGGAGACCCGGATGCTCCTGACATCCCGACCCCGCGCTCTTACGCAGAGGCGATTACGGGTCCTTACTCCTCTCAGTGGCAGGCAACTATGGATGCCGAGATGGCATCCTGGAAGTCCACAGGCACTTACGTCGACGAGGTTCCCCCACCTGGGGTGAACATAGTCGATGGCATGTGGATCTTCAGGGTGAAGCGGCCGCCGGGTTCTCCGCCTGCCTTCAAGGCGCGTTACGTTGCTCGAGGTTTCAGTCAGCGACAGGGAGTTGACTACTTCCAGACCTTCTCCCCCACCCCGAAGATGACTACTCTTCGAGTGTTGCTGCACGTAGCTGCTCAGCGTGACTACGAGTTACACTCCCTGGACTTCAAAACTGCCTTCCTGCAGGGCAGCCTGCACGAGGAGATCTGGCTGCGCCGACCACCTGGTTTCACTCGGTCGTTTCCTACAGGTACCCAGTGGAGCCTCCGCCGGCCAGTCTACGGTCTCCGCCAGGCGCCTCGCGAGTGGCACGACACACTCAGGACTACACTTGCGGCTCTTGGGTTTGTTCCTTCTACAGCAGACCCGTCGCTGTTTCTACGCACCGACACCTCGCTGCCGCCCTTCTACGTCCTAGTGTACGTCGACGACCTCGTCTTTGCTACGGCTGACACTGAGGCACTGACCCTAGTGAAGTCTGAGCTGCAGAAGAGACATACCTGCACTGACCTGGGTGAACTGCGCAGCTACCTTGGCCTGCAGATCACCCGGGACAGAGCACGGCGCACCATCACACTGACTCAGTCACACATGGTGCACCAGGTCCTTCAGCGCTTCGGCTTCCAGTACTCCTCGCCACAGCTCACTCCTCTGTCTACCAGCCACTCGCTCTCAGCTCCACCTTCGGACGAGTCCGTAGAGTCGAGTGGTCCATACCCATAGCTTGTGGGTTGCCTCATGTACCTGATGACTTGCACTCGACCTGACCTCGCGTACCCTCTCAGCCTTCTGGCTCGCTACGTGGCTCCCGGTAGGCACCGAAAGGTGCACTGGGATGCTGCGAAGAGGGTACTGCGTTACCTGTGCAGTACGTCGGGCATGGGGCTTGTGCTTGGAGGACGGGGTCCTGTTGTCCTCACTGGTCACGCAGACGCCTCCTGGGTCGACGACTCAGCTACGCTGCGGTCGTCGCAGGGTTACACCTTCAGCCTCGGGTCCGGATCGGTTTCTTGGCGGTCTACCCGCTCGTCTTCAGTTCTCAGCTCCAGCTGTGAGGCTAAGATCTACGCCGGAGCCATGGCTGCTCAGGAGCTACGCTGGCTCACCTACTAGCTGACCGACTTGGGAGAGCAGCCTCGTTTGCCTCCAGTCCTGTTCGTAGACAACAAGGCCATGATAGCCTTGTGTCAGGAGCACAGACTGGAGCACAGAACGAAGCACATCGCTCTGCGATACTTCCTTGCTCGAGAGTTGCAGCAGCGTGGTCAGCTTGGTCTAGCGTACGTGGCCACTCGGGCCATCACTGCTGATGTCTTCACCAAGGCACTTCCGCCTGGTGACCATCAGCGCTTTGTTACTGTGTTAGGCCTTGTGCCTACTTTGCCTCACTTACTTACTGCCTGACTCTGCCTGTACTGTGATCTATCTATATACCTGCATGCTTGCACTTGTTAGGGTATGATCACTGTATTGTTTGTTCTCTTTATATAACTCTGCATGTGAACTGGCCTTGTGGCCCTTTGCTTGTGCTCGGACTGTGTGGTGACTTTGTGATCCACCCTGAGCTTGCTTTGCTTTGCTTCTTCTCTTGACTGGTCTTGTGACCATTGCTTGTTCTGGCTATCCCCCACTTCGCATATGGGGATGTGTCAAACATATATGCTTAGTTATATCTAGGCTTAGTTTATGTGTTTATAGTTGTCTAGGCTATAGTGGGTTTAGCCTTAGGGGGTACAGATTTCTCTCGACATTCTACTTGTACCCCTTCCCTTTTCCTAGTCAATCATTCTCGCCTACTATTCTCACACCCTCCTGGTGCCTAGTGGAGCCTCCGGCGGCCGGTCTACGGTCTCCGCCAGGCGTCACGTGAGTGGCACGATACACTGAGGACGACACTTGCGGCTCTTGGGTTTGCTCCGTCAACTTCTGACCCGTCGCTGTTTCTACGCACCGACACTTTGCTGCCGCCGTTCTACATCCTCGTGTACCTCGACGACTTGGTCTTTGCCACTGCTGACACTGAGGCTCTCGCCCTGGTGAAGTCGGAGCTGCAGAAGAGACACACGTGCACAGACCTGGGTGAGCTGCGTAGCTATATTGGCTTGCAGATCACCCGGGACAGAGCACGCCGCACCATCACACTGACTCAGTCACACATGGTGCAGCAGGTCCTTCAGCGCTTCGGCTTCACCTGGTCCTCAGCACAGGCCACTCCTCTGGCTACAGGTCACTCGCTCTCAGCTCCACCTTCGGACGAGTCCGTAGAGCCGAGTGGTCCTTACCCAGAGCTAGTGGGCTGCCTCATGTACCTGATGACCTGCACTTGTCCTGACCTTGCGTACCCTCTTGGCCTTCTGGCTCGCTACGTGGCTCCTGGTCGGCACCGAAAGGTGCACATGGATGCTGCTAAGAGGGTACTACGCTACTTGTGCAGTACATCGGGCATGGGGCTCGTGCTTGGAGGACAGGGTGACGTTGTCCTCACTGGTCACTCGGACGCCTCTTGGGTTGACGACCAGGCTACGCAGCGGTCGTCACAGGGTTACACCTTCAGCCTTGGTTCTGGTTCAGTTTCTGGCGTTCTACACGTTCGTCTTCAGTTCTCGGCTCCAGCTGTGAGGCCGAGATCTACGCCACAGCCATGGCTGCACAGGAGCTACGCTGGCTCACCTACCTGCTGACCAACTTGGGAGAGCGGCCTTGTTCTCCTCCAGTTCTGTACGTCGAGAACAAGGCTGCCATTGCCTTATGTCAGAAGCACAGACTGGAGCATAGAACGAAGCACATCGCTCTACGTTACTTCCTTGCTCGAGAGCTGCAGCAGCGTGGCCAGCTTCGTCTTGCTTACGTGGCCACTCGGGCCAACACTGCTGATATATTCACCAAGGCGCTTCCGCCTGGTGAGCATCAGCGTTTCTGCACTTTGTTAGGCCTTGTTCCCACGCTTCCTCACTTGCTGTAGGCTTTGTTTGTACTGTGATCTATATGTATACATGCATGCTTGCTCTTGTAGGTAGATATCACTGTGCTGTTGTTGTTACACATATATCTCTGCATGTGAACTGGCCTTGTGGCCTTTTGTTTGTGCCCAGACTGCGTGGTGACGTTGTGATCCACCCTGAGCTTGTTTTGCACTTCCTGTCTGGCCTTGTGACCCTCTGTTCTCCCCCACTTTGCCTATGGGGGTGTGTCAAACATATGTTTGTATGCCATAGTTTAGGTAGGCTTTAGTGGGGTACTCACTGTGGGGTACAACCCCTTAGGTTTTCCTTTGTACCAAAGTCTCGCTAATCCAACCACCTTGCCTAAGTTTCTAACATTGTTGACCTCGAGCCCGCCCAGCAGCACGTCCACTGCAGTCGGGGCGGGCGGTCCATCCTCTGCCCGTCGCTTGTTACGGCATTCGCCCGCCAAATCGCGGATGTTACGGTCGGAGTCGGAAGCGGGGTTGGACGAGTTCCCGTTGTTAAGTGTCGGCGTCGATGACGTCGTTGAGCGATTGAAGTTAAAAATGTCGCTGAGTAAAGTCGGGGGTGACTCGCCTCTAGGAAGCGATTATGTCCTAGCCAGCATGGACGAAGGGATTAACTAAGTGAGCGGAAATGTTGAGTGAGCCGTTTGAAAATAGAGAAACGTGGGTGGAGGAAATGAGCTCCAACCCACGGTTTTTGTAGTTGGAGAAGGGCGCTTAGCGCGCTTCGACGATGCCAATTGTGCAATACAAGCAGCTTCGCTTTCACAATACACAATTTTGAAAAACACTATGTGTGTTGAAATAATATAATTTTGCTTGTTTTGATAATTACAGTAGAGCGGCTGCGTTGCCATTGTGCAACAATCTTCACATGCGCGAGGCATTCTTCCCGTGCCATGCTTCTCTCCGTCCCTCCACAGACCACGCTATGGCTGCCGCCTACGCCTCCATGCTCCGCGCTCACCTCCCCGCACTGCGCGCCGCTGCAGCCGCCACCGCGTGTTTCGCCGCTGCTGCAGCGTCAGCCTCGTTAGAAGCAGCTCCAGCAAGATCGTCCGCAGCGTCAGCGGCAGCCAGCGACGAACGCGGGGAGCAGAACGCGAGCCGGGACGGCGATGGAGCGCGTGACCGCAGCGACAGCGGCGACAGCGTCGGCGGCGGAGGGAATCCCCGTGCAGAGCTGACATGCGGTGGGTGTGGCTCTCAACTCCCGCGTATTCAGGAGGATTCGAAACCGCTGACATGGAGTCAGGTCAACAGCAGTGGTGTCATGATGCTACCTCCTTCGATGTTCTTCTAGGTGCGGCGGCTTTAGGATGGTAAGGCGAGTGACGTCATTCGGATGAGCGGACTTGACACAAGCATACCACTTCCGAACCAAGGATGCCTCTTCCGAACCAAGGATGCCTCTTCCGAACCAAGGATGCCTCTTCCGAACCAAGGATGCCTCTTCCGAACCAAGAATGGCTCTTCCCTTCCGCGTCCCCGCACGTCTCCACTTGACTGCTTCTTTAAGTCTCTGTTAAAACTCGTCCTTTTTCTCTCCCTCCTCCCTCTCCTGCTCTGCTGCTCACCCTGCCCTTTTCAATCTCCACCCCGTGCTTCCCTCCTCTCGCCATCAGGCACTCTTCACGTCCCCCTGCCGCTGGACAAGCTCATGTGCCACGTGGCAGGCACTGGTAGGCTGAGAGACGACAGCAGCAACTCGCTGTTCAAAGGGCGGCCCCCAGGCGATCACCCTCAGGCGGTTCTGCTGCTTTCTGGAAGCTTCAACCCGCCCACGATCATGCACCTGAGGATGCTGGGTGGGTGGGTGTGTGGATGGGTGTGTGGGTGGGTGTGTGGATTGGTGGGTGTGTGGGTGGGTGGGTGGGTGTGTGGATGGGTGTGTGGATGGGTGTGTGGATGGATGTGTGGGTGGGTTTGAGGGTGCCTGTGGATGGGTGTGTGGGTGGGTGTGAGGGTTGGTGCTACTGCGCACCAAGTGCCGCTTGTTCCCTCCACCCTCCCTCCGTCTGTCACTCGCCATTTCCCATCGCCCCGGCCTTTCACACAGAGGCCTTGGCGAAGACGCAGCTACCAGGTCTGTTCAAATCAGTTGTGTGGTAGAACTTTCCTGCTGCCCCTCGCCCCTCCCTCCCGCCCTCTCTGCAGAGATGGCGCACGATGCACTGCAGGACCGCGGGTGGGACGTGATTGGCGCGTACATGTCGCCAGTCAATGACCACTACGGTAAACAGGTGCGCTTCTAATGAGTATGGATAGTGGTATGCATGCGAGCATATGGGTGCACCTCATCACCATGGCTGCTCAACGCCATTGGCTGGCGACTCTTGCCTACCGCCCCCCCACCCCCTCCGTTGAGCCCCTGCCCGTCGTCATCCTTCCCACGCTCCCCTCCACCGTCTCATGTTCACCCCACAGGGCCATGCAACCGCCAAGCAGCGGGTGGCTTTCGATTCGACTCAAAAGTCAATTTGTCGCCCTCCCACTGCCTCCATTGTGCCTGTGCCACTGCCCTCTCTCCATCCTTTCCACGCTTCCCTCCACCATCCCGTCTTCACCTCACCCCTCAGGGCCTTGCCCCCGCCAAGGAGCGGGTAACCATGTGCCAGCTGGCATGCGCTGATTCGCCCTTCATCATGGTGGACCCCTGGGAGGTGCGTGCACGCAGCTTCCTGGAAGGTGAGCTTCGCCTGTCACGCACTTGTGGCCTCCCACACGCCTGTTCCGTTCCCCATGCATGCATCCCTCCTCCTGCACGTGTGTGCGGCGCTGATGCTGCCAGTGGTTGAAGTCAAGCTGTGTTGCTGCGTCCTCTCTCACCCCCCTCCTCTCCACATGTGACTGCTGTGGCATCGCGCCTCTCCCCGTTTTCTGTTATTCTTTTCAACCATTGACATTCACTCCATCGTGTGCGTTTTCTCACCCTCTCCCCATTCCACCCCCCCTGCTCTCCTTTGCTGCCTGCCATCCCCTCTCTTTCTGCCGTCGTCGTTGTCCCCATGGTCCGTGTGTGCAGTCATCCCAGCAGTGCTACCAGCGCACCCTCTGTGTGCTTCGCCGACTGCACCACACATTCAATGCTCCCGCTGCTCCAACGCCCTCTTCTGCCGCACAAGCTCCATTCCCTGCCGCCCAAGATCCTTCCTCTGCCGCCCAAGATCCTTCCTCTGCCGCCCAAGCTCCATCCGTGGCTATCCACCCACCGTCTCCTATTCACCCCCAAGCATCGCTGGGAAACCAGTCACCCACATCCCCAATTCCCCCACATCCACACTCGCAACCAGCTGCCCTACATCCACCCTCGCAACCAGCTGCCCTACATCCACCCTCCCCAACACCTCCTCACCCGCACACGCCCCAGCACCCGCACATGTGGGCACTTGAGGGAGCCATGGCTGAGTCCCCTGCACTGCTGCCCACTGCTGGTGGCGTAAGGGGATGGGAGAGAGGCGCGGAAGGAGGACAGGGGGACGGAGGAGGCGGGAAAAGAGAGGAGGGCGGAGCAGCAATGATGGGTAAAGAGCGGGATGGGAGAGGGGACGGGGATCGGAGGAGCGAAATGGGTGAGGTGGTGGCCAGTGGGGTGCAGGGCGAAAGGAGGGAGAGATATGGAGGATTCAGAGGGGAAGGGGTAGGGGCAGCGGCGGGGCAGCAGGGAGCGGAGGGGAGGGTGCAGGTGATGCTGGTGTGCGGGGCGGACCTGCTTGAGTCCTTTACCCAGCCAGGCGTGTGGGTTCCCGCCCATGTGAGTGCTGCTGCTCTTGCGCTTCATCATGGTATTGTACGACCTGGCTTGTCATGGATTGGCATGGCGTGGCAGTGCATGGGATGACATGACATGGCAGTGCGTGCGTTGTTTTGATGAGGTTCATCGAAGCCCGCAATTTGCCTCTTCCCACACATGTCAACTGTACATGCTCTGCCCAAACCCATTCCCCAATAATGCCCACCCCCGTGCCTCCAATTCCCCACTCCGCCACGACCACCATGCGCCCCACCCCCATGGCGTGATGGCAGGTAGAGGAGGTGCTGGGGGCGCACGGTGTGGTGTGCATTGCACGGCAGGGCGCTGATGCTCGCCGACTAGTGGTGCAGTCTGACGTGCTGCACCGCCACCGCGTGAGTGGATGTCAAGGGTGGGGGAGGAAAGAAAATAACGAGATATTGAAGGAGTGAGGGAGCGAAGGCATCAGCGGTAAAGGGAGAGAGGGCAAACGTGCATGTGTGAGTGACAGCGGCTCCTGTGTGTGTTTAGAGATTTGAACTTTCAATGGTATAAGTGGGTGCAGTGGACGAGATAAGAATCTCTCTACTTACTCTGTACCATCTGGTATAGTCAGTAGATAGATTGTTATTTTGTCAGCACCCACTTATACCAATGAAAGTGCAATGGAGCCCAAGACAGGAGCCATGTCTTTACGTGGCAGCAACTGATTCAAATTACCTGGGAGTAATGTTGCGGTGCCTGGCGCATGCGCGTACGCTTGTGCTTCCCCAGTACCATGGGCCGTGGCGAGCCCACGCTTGTCCAGGCGACCATCCCTGCACTCCATGCATGCACCTGTGTGGTGAAGCAGCATCGGATTCGCATCCACTGCCCTACTCGCACGTACTTGCACCTGCCTGCACTTGCCTTGGACCATTAGAAACGCCTTGTGTCATCCTCTTCGTCTTTCTTGTCCATTTCACTCCCTGTACTCTTACCAGCACAACATCCTTATAGTGGATCAGCCCATAGAGAACAACGTCAGCTCTTCCCACATCCGGTATTTCCTCCTCCCCTCCCTCGCCCTGCTTGCGCCTCGCTCCTTCTCCGCACTGCCCTGTGCCTCATCCCTGTGCCGCTTTCAACTTGCACCTTTGCAGCACTGGATTCGGATTCATACCTCTCCACCCTAATGGACAGCCATATCTCCTTTTGCCCTTAGTTAAGCAGTTTGATTACTCACTATGTTTACCTTGCCCTTGCGCTTGCCCAATATCCTCTGTTCAACTGCCCTTAGTCAAAACCCTCCCCTGCACTCCCATCACCTATACACGCTCACTGCACGGCACTCATTTCTTACCTCTCCTGTGCCTGTGTGCGTGCCTGCAGACGGCTGTTACAGCGGGGGCTGTCAGCCAAGTACCTCGTGCCAGATGCAGTGCTGCAGCACATCCGTGCAGCACGCCTCTACGAGCGCACGGACTAGGGTCTTAGTCTGTTGACTGGAGTCAACTCAAGTGCCTCTCAGGTACTTCTCGTGCCACCTGCCGTGGTGGAGCACACATGCGCGCCACGCCTGGACGAGCACACGGACTAGGTTGTTCGACTTGGGAGTCAGTCCAATGGACTCCAATTACCATGTCCCACACGCGCTGCCTCATGGGGCCTTACGTGCGGCAGGGCTGTACAGCAGCACCTAGTAGGGCTTCTAAAAATGCTGAACAAACTACTTCCATGGTGTGCTAGAAGTCAGAGTGTAGTGGATGTGTGCATAAACAAGTTTACTTGAGGTTCGACGTACATGTACGTACAGTAGGATTTTGTTAATCAGTGTTATTGTGAATGTACAATAACAGTACTGCTGGAATACATCTGGTGGCTCACCTTTATTTACAATTTACGGATTTCGTCCACTAATAGGGTTGGGTCATGGATATGCAGGGTTCCCATACCTAGTGTAACGTAATACACATCCGGAATAGCCTTATTGAAGTTCTCATAGTAAGACCTCTCCAAAAGCTTTTTCGGCCCAACCTCGCTTCTCGGGCAGCTCTTGAAATTCGGCCGGGTCTTGTAGAGCGACGACCCCTTTTTCACGCCCAAGTCGTCCTCCACGAAATCCAGGAACTGCGCGTCGGCGACATTGGTGACATTGATGTAGCGGTGCGAGTTGATGCGAGGCGTGTTGGGCAGGTCCTCACAGTACTTGAAGTCCATGTCGTAGTCCAGCGCTCCCACCAGCACGAGCATGAGCGAGTTGCGCGTCGGCAGCCCGCTGCACTTGCCCGTGAGCGTGGCGTTGAGCGTGCCGCGCGCGTTGCTGTTGCACGGCACGCCGTTCACGCCCATCTCTGAGCACACCGTTTGCATCCATGGCCAGTTCTGATGTGAATAGGGGGGTGCAAGGGAGCAGCGGGATGGCGTGGTGAGATGGGTGAGGAAGAGAGAGGAGGGCGGGTGAGACAGGCGGCAATGATGGGTGTGGTAAAGGTGGCAATGATGGGTGTGGTAAAGGTGGCAATGATGGGTGTGGTAAAGGTGGCAATGATGGGTGTGGTAAAGGTGGCAATGATTAAGGGTGTGGGGAGATCGATCGGCTACCACACTGTAATCCCACTTATTGCATCTTCAACCACAGAACCTACTCAAACCCCGTCAAAGAACGATCTCGAAGGCGATCGATCCTCCCCAGATCGTTACTTTTACTACGCCCTAAGGCTCTCTGGTCCTACGTATGCATGCTAAGAGGTTGCGGGATGGGGAGGGTGGTGGAGCCAAAGAGAGTGAACGATTGGAAGTGGGGCGTGTAGGGTTGCACAGACAGCAAGGGAGCACAGCAAGGGAGCACAGCAAGGGAGCACAGCAAGGGAGCACAGCAAGGGAGCACAGCAAGGGAGCACAGCAAGGGAGCACAGCAAGGGAGCACAGCAAGGGAGCACAGCAAGGGAGCACAGCAAGGGAGCACAGCAAGGGAGTACGGGGCGCTGTGGTTCATCTTGCATGCACCTGGTTGATCTGAGCGGAGTTGTAGTACTTGCGGCGCATCTGCTCCCAGTACGACCCGGGCTTCTTCCCACAGTTCACCACCTCGGCTGTGAGGCACGTGGACCACCCGGGCGTCCACCGCGTGTTCTTAACCACCACGTCCTCTATCACGTTGCTGCCGGGTTGATCAGGGGCGCAGGGACGGTGGGGAAGATGAGAGCAACAAGATGAGTTATGGCGAGTGGATTGGCTGCATGGATGCATCTCATGACTGTTTGGTAGTAGTGGTTGTGGCAGTATACTGACGTGGCTCAATGCAATGCAGAGCGAGTGCAGGAGGGTATGGGCCATGAAAGATTTTTGAGATCTACACAGGGTACGGGCCATGAAAGAGAAATGCTTCAAGCTGCTACACCGCCACCCTTGAAGCACACCCTTGCCACTCGCACCATGCCCCCCTCCCAATTACCTCTTGCCGTTGTTGACCTTCATGCCCGCGTACGTGTCAATGCACGCGCCCCCTCGGATGGTCACACCCGAGGACGCGAAGTCAAGGTAGTAGCACTGGTCGCCGCCTATCACGTAGTTGCACTCCGCTAGGTTGCCTGTTGCCGTGGGGAGGTGGGGTGATGGGGGAGGGGGGAGAGGAAAAAGAGAAGGTGTGTGTGCATGGTGGCAGCGCAGCGAAGGCAGAGGCGGCGACGATGGCAGTAGTGGTGAGAGTGAGTGGCGAGCCTGCAGGCACTGTGGTTCCGCATGGCATGGCACAGCAGTAACCAGGGTTGAAGCAGCAATGCGCGGAGTCTCACCAGGGTTGAACCAGTGGGTGTTGAAGTAGATGCCGGAGGCGTCCATGTCGCCACTGATGTTGCGCCCCGTGGCCACCACGAGGTTGTTGGATATAGTAGAGAGCATGCAGTCGCCCACGTACGATACGAACGCACCGCACACGATGCCCGCGAATATGAAGTCGTGCACGTAGTTGTTGCTCACCGTCACTCCCACTGCGCCGAAATACAGCACTATGGGGAAGCGCGCTCCTGGTGGGATGGTGGAGGGATGGGGTGGAGGGGCCAGGGAGGGGAGGAAAGGAAGGGGAGGGGAGGGAGGGGAGGGGAGGAAGGGGAGGGGAGAGAAGGGAGGCAAGGCGTGATGTGAGGAGCCTGGAATGATGAAGATGAAGTGGTGCCCGTGGTTGGCGTGCACTGTGCCTCGTGCTGCCGCCAACCGCATGATCGGGACGCGTGAGCTGGCAGGAGAGAAGGCACGGGTGGTTGGCGCAAAGAAAAGAGGAGGGCACAGGTGCGGATAAGAGGCGCGTGAGTGAGGCGCAAGTGGAGACGGATTGACAGCTTGAATAGCATCTCTATCGTTACTCCAGTTGCACTGGACTCGCACTGCTTCTCAGACCCACACGCACCAAACGCATGGTCTAAGTAACCACCTCTCAGCAGCGCGCATACAGTGCGCCCCTGCCGCACAAGGCGACGCGGATGAGCCCCTGCACGCACCAAAGACCTCGTTGTTGCTGATCACGACACCGCTGCGCTGCATGGTGGGTCCGTGGCCGCACACGCACCAATCCCCCCCCAACAGCCCTGCACGCACCAAAGACCTCATTGTTGCTGATAACCACTTGGCTGCGCTGCATGGTGGGTCCGTGGCCGCAGAAGGCCACGCGGATGAGCCCCTGGCCGCGCTTGAAGTCGCCCAGCCCCGTCACCTTCATGCCGTCCACTCGCACCGCCACCGACCAGTACACATCGATGCGCCCGTACACCGTTCCGCGTGCCACCTGCACGTTGGCTGCCTGTTGTGGGGGAGGAGGGAGAGCAGTGGGGTGGGGAGCAAGCGCTTTGAGTGTGTGCTGTGCTGACCGTGACCATTGCCTCTAGTCGCCCAACCCAAGCCTGTCAGGCTGTGATCTTCATGCCGCCACCCGCCTGTACACCGTGCCCTGCGCCACCTGCACGTTGGCTGCCTGGTGGGGGGGGAGGGGGGGTGGAGACGCAGTGGGGAGTAAGTGCTTTGAAAGTGTGTTGTGCTGACCGCCTCCAGTCGCCCAGGCCTGTGACCTTGGATGCCGTCCATCCGCCCGTACACCATGCCGCGCGCCACGCCACCTGCACGTTTGCCGCCCGCCCGGTTGAGGGGAGAGAGGGGGAGCAAACGTATTAAATCGCTGCTTTGCTGATCATTTATGCGCCTAAGGAACTGATTCAGGGCTAATGGGCAGACCCGGTGCAGGCGCGCAGGTCGTCATGGCATGCATACGCAAGCGGTGCCACCGATCAGAACATGTCGATGCACCCCACACTGTGCCCCATGCCACCTGCACGTGCGCTGCCTGCCTTGGCGACCTGCATGCACGTGGCACGCCATGGCATGACTCTCGGACGTCTCAGAAGCACCCTAGCTACTACTTGCACACATGGCATGGCTGGTAGTGGGAATGGTGGCAGGGCGTGTGGCGAGGAGAGTGAGATCCAAGTCACTCCATGCATGTGCACTCCAGGACGCGTGGCATCACCTGGTAGATGTGGATGGCGGGGCAGATGACGTCAGTGCCCATGTACGGGATGCCCTGGCACGCCGCGGTATCAATGGCGTAGGGCTGGAAGAAGGACACGCGCAGCACGAGCACGTTGCTGGCGCCCGCTATCCACAGCAGCGGCGCGTCTGTGCGCATGAGCGTCAGCTGGAACCCGCGCGCGGGGCGGGCGGCGGAGCGCAGCACGGTGCAGGCGAAGGAGGCGTTGAAGAGCAGCGGCGCCGTGAGCAGGATGTGGTTTTGGAGCTCGAGGACGACCGTGATGGTGGAGGGGTACTGCAGGCGGCGGGCGAAGTCGTCCTCTGAGTTGACTGGAATGATGACGGCTGTGGTGAGTGGCGTGCATGGCAGCCCGCTGGACGGTGGCTGCCGCCCTGTAGGCGTGGTTGGGGGTGTGGGATGACATGGCATGATGTGACAACCACATTCCATCACACCACACGGCATGACATGACATTCCATCACACCACACGGCATGACATCGCACCACACCACACAGCACCTGCACGGCACCCCATGTCCCCCACAGTGTCACACGCGTTCAGCCGTACTCAAGCCTCGCCTCCCTCGTCGCCCACACGCCATCCATCCCCTCTCCTCCTCTCCTACCCCCCCTTTTCACTCACTATCCCCCTTGCCCGCCTTCAATTCCCCCCCTTACCCCAACCTCCGCCTGTTCCCCGCCCCGCGCGCCACTCACTGAGCGTCTGGGGGCTGATGCGCGGCTCAGCGAACGGCCACGCGCCACTACCCGCGCCCCTCCCGCCGTCCGCCGTCATCCCCGCCTCCGCCGCGCTGGCGGGCCAATCAGCTTCGTACACCTGCGCTAGCGGCCTGTGATTGGTCCACGACACATCCACCCACGGCCGCCTCTTGCCATTCCGCCCACGTCCGCGCATCTCCTTGCCCCACGCGCTGCTGCGCGCCTTCGCCGCGGCCATGGCGGCCTGCGCCCGCTCGTACGCGCTGGGGCCCGCTCCCCCTCCACCGCCACCTATGCCGCCTAAAGCTCCGCCCTTGCTGCTGCTGCCGCCGTCGCCGCCGGCAGCGCTGCTGCTACTGCTGCTGCGGAGGACGATCGCTTCATCGCCGCTGCTCGCAATGCTCGCGGCCCGCACAGCGCTGCTCCCCTCTCCTCCTCCTCCGCCCCCTCCAACTCCCCCTCCGCCGCCGCCTTGTGCGCGCTTGAGGTGGTTGCGCAGAAAGGGCGGGAGGCGGCGCACGTGGTAGTGGTAGCGGTAGAAGCTGTTGGGCGGGGCGCCTGGGGTCACTGGCAGTGACGCGCGGGTGACGGGGAAAGGGGGAAAGGTTGCAGGGGAAGCGAGAAAGGCGGGGCGGGTGGTTAGGTTGAAGAGGGCCGCGTTGAATTTGAGTGGTGGCGGAAGGAGAGGGGAGTCACGCAGGGCGCGGGGAGGGGAGCAAGAGGGGGCAGGGCGTGAGGAGGGGAGCGCCATGGAGCGCTGTGCACGCGATGGCAGCAGTGCAGTGACGTGGAGCCACGGCGAGGCCTGCAGCACTGCACCGCATAACGCCGACCTACCCACTCTGCCGTGAATGCGCAGGGCGCATGTGGGGAAGGCATATACGGGGAAGGCGCATATGGGGAAGGCGTATACGGGGAAGGCGCATATGGGGAAGGCGTATACGGGGAAGGCGCATGCGGCGTGCGTTGAGGGAACTCAAAGTGCCGCCAGATGACCTTTTTCGAAGTCGACACGAGCATTCAGTGATCTACACGCACCTGGGGCAGCAGCAACCGCGGGCGGCACCGAGGGGGTGCTGTGTTGCGCGAGCGAGAGCAGCGTGCCGACAATCAGCAGAGCCGTGTCCCGCCAAGCGGACCCCGTGCACGACGGCGGACCGCGAGCCATGCGGGGGTCGAGGATCGACAACGGCCAGGCGGACCGGACTTGAATCGTCTAGGGACGGGTAGGCTGCAAATATGAATCCAACCAGCAGCGCAGATGGACGCTGGGTTGCCGCACCAGCGAGCCGCGGAGCTGTTAGAGACGCGGTACTAATGGCGATGCAACGCAACGCGAGGTGACGCTGCGGCGATGCTGAGAACGAATGTGACAAGGGAGCCGTGCGGGATCTGTGGCGAATCTACGTGGACGAGTCTAACGACGGCGAGCGTTCGTAGGCTCGGCAGGGCGCAGGTGGTCCGAGCGGTACTATGGTGGACCCTACTTTCAGTTCCGCAGAACCGCTTGTAGCGAGAACGAGTTTCTCCTTGGTAGTCTCTAGGGTAGCAATCTGAGAGGTCCTGCAGACGCGGAAAACAACAAAACTAGGTCGCGCGTCGAAATAACACTTGAAAATTTCAAGGGCGCGCAGACGAGGAAGAGCGAGTGGTTCAAGATGCGGAGGGCACCGCGCGACGGCGCGAGCTGGAAAGGAACTATCTGCGAGGGAGAACGGCTTTTGATTGCGCCGCTGCGCGCTTGGACTTGCAATGAGTTCGGAGCGGGGTGGGTTCCGTCGGCGCCTTGGGTGGCGACTGGCGAAGGTGAATCGTGCTACCATCCATGCATCCATGCATTGCTCCATTCTTGTGATTGCGAGGGACAGCATGACGAGGGTTCGGCGCACTAGCCGCCCAGACCCAGACACACGGCCCCGTGTCCACTCCTCCTCCCCTCTCTCTCCTACGGAGGCGACCAAGGGCGTGGGGGGGAGAGGGGAGGTTCAGTATGGACGGATGGGTACTGCCCAGCAAATCCTGCTTGCAGCTGTTCACAGCAGTGTTTGGGGTAGGTGCGCGGAAGGGCATGTGGGGGAGTGAGGGGAGGCTAGGGAGTGATGGAAGGCTAGGGAGGATTAGGGTGTGCAGAGGTGGTTGTTGGCCCAGTTTGACGCAGCACACAGCCTTCCGTTCGCTCTCCACCGTTTGGTTTTGAATCACAACGGGTAAATTACTCTTTCTACTGTAATTCGATAGTGTACAGTAGTAGAGCCCCACTGGAGGCCAGCTGTGGGGCGGAGGTGGGCCTGAGGGACGATCTTTGGAGATGATTCGCCAACTAACTCATCGCCCTTCCGACCTGTAGATTACAGAGCAGAATTGGTGACGCTTGCATTTCTGGCCGCGTCGACTAGCCGCTATTATCAAACAGCGATAACTCGAAGAATACACCAAGAGAAATGGAACTTGTGACGCTTGTCCCAATACAATGTAAATCAGGTTCTGTTTGTCCACTCCTTATTCACTGGAGTATTGACGAGCCAGAACCACATTGTCAATGCTTGTTAATTTACCGGAGGGGCACAGCACAACGCACCAGCGTCATATGAATGCACACAACAACCATAGAAGACTCACAATCTAAATGGCGCATGGTGGCAGCGTGCAAGGCGCATGGTGGCAGCGTGCAAGGCGCATGGTGGCAGCATGCAAGGCGCCGCACACGAGTCAGCATGCGACTCTGGAAGTCACACACGAGGACCCCTTCTGTCATCTCCCCAGCACCGCAACCATCACAGCATGTTTCAAGGCGTGCACTCGCTGAGCAGAAACTCCCTGTACAGACACTCTCCGTGCACCGATGTGCCCTTCCCATTCATTCCACCCACCCCACCACCTCCCTGCACTCCCCCTTTCGTCGGGCCCCAGAACCCCCCCTTCCCCTTCCCCCTCCCCCACCCCCTGGAACCGCCATTGCGTGCAGCGGGGCTGGACTCATCCCCAGCAGCGCCACCCATGGCGGCCAGATCCACACACGACTGCACGCGCTGGCAGCTCAACATGCCCACTCCACCCGGTAACCCACCGCGATCCGCATGACCCGACCCAGCACTACTAGCAGCAGGCAGTGTGGCGGCACCATTGCTTGCACCGCCCCCCACCGCCCCTCGCCCCTGCTGCCGTGCACCTGACTGGGGCGAGATACCCAGGGCCAGGGAGCTCTTCCTTTGGCCAACGGGTGACTGCCACGTCATCCCAGCACCACCCACACTGGCACGGGCGTTGAGTCGTCGTGCCCAGCCACCAGCATTGTCGCTGTGCGTGCTGGCGGATGGTGAGCGCGGAGACAGCGGCCCTCTCATGGCCAGCGGGGCTGCACTGCGGGCGCCCATGGCACCCATGGCACCCACCACATCGCCATCTGCACCGGGACTTGATATGTCCTCCTCCTCGCCCTCACCCTCCTCCCCACCCGTCCTCAGCAGCCCCAGGCGCCTCGCCATGCGGAAGCTTCCTCGCAGGCTGCCCCCGGGGCTGCGCGCGCCTGCAACTGCCGGGCTGGGTGCCCCGCTGCCATGCATCATGCTGAAGAAGCGCCGCGACCCGTGCTCGCTGCCCCCCCCCCCGCCCTCCTTCCGCGCCCCGCTGCCCGCCTCGTCCTCTTCCCCGCCCCCCAAGAGGCCAAAGAATCGCCGTGAGCCGTGCTGGCTGCTGCTGCCCTCCTGCTGCTCGCCCTCCCTCGCTCTCATCGCACTGAAGAAGCGCCGCGACCCATGAAGACTGCCGCCGTGCACACTGCCGCCGCTCTCTCCTTCCTTCTCCCCCTCGCCTCCCCTCATGAGCCCTAAGAACCGCCGCGATCCACGATGGCTGCCCCCTGCCTCCACGCTCTTACCCCCGCTCTCTGGACTAACCATCTTCGCCTTCCCCTTCCCCTCCCTCCTCCCTCCTCTACCTGCACCACCCCGTGTGGCAGCAGCAGCAGCAGCATGGGCAGTGGCGTGGTGGGGGTGGTGGGGGTGGTGGGGGTGGTGGTCGTCAGGGTGGTGGTGGAGGCGGTGCATGTCGTGGTGGCGTGTGACGAGAGCAGAGAAGTCAAGCAGGTCAAACAGAGGCACGGGGGGGATGGCATGGGAGGACGACGAGGGAGGCAGGACCGTGGGTGGGTGAGTGAGAGAGGTGTTCGTTGCTCCCTGCTGCTGCTGCTGCTCCTGGTGCTGCTTCTCCAGTGCAGCAGCGATCCCTGAGCCACCTCGCACGCGCTCCTCCCTCTCCCTTTCCCTGCCGGCTGCGCTGCTACCAGCAGCGCCAAAACCGCTCTGCATCGCTCCTGCCTGCAGAGTCACAGTGGGAGGCACGTGAGCCAGCATGCTGTGCGGCATGACGCTGCTGTGCACGCCCGTGAGCTGCTGTGACAGCCGCTGGTGGCCCAGGGCGTCTAGACTCGCCAGCAGTGCTGGTAGAGACAGCATGGCTGAAGGGGGGTGCTGCTGTTGCTGCTGGTTTTTTACTTGGTGCTCGCTTTGCCCCTCCACAGTCACACCTGCTTCACTCACAACCTCTAAAGAAGTGCCCGGTGCTGACGTGGCACTCGCCAGCTGGCGCACGAGCTGGCGGAACTCTGACTCGCTGAGCTCCAGCGACAGCAAGGCAACGCACGCGCGCTGCAGCTTCCTGGTAGCTGCGTACATGCGGAAGCCTCGCAGCGACCCCTCCAGCTGCACGCCTCCCCTCACACGCCCCTCTGCCGCCGCCCCTCCCTGTGTTGGCCCCTTCCATAACAACCCTTCGTCCTCTTGCCCCACCCGCCTTGCTGCCACCTCCCCTTCCCTCTCCCCTCTCTCCTCGTCCCTTGCGTTCCTCGCCCCGTCCTCCTCTTCCCCCTTGCCCATCCACTTCTCCTGCATCTCTGCCACAGCCCCCCTCGCCCTCGCATCTGTGTGCTCCTCCCCTGCGCTCGCCCCAGGCGCCACCACAGCAGGCGGGGCCCACTTCCCTGCAGCAGCCCCTGTCACGGCCACGGCCCCTGCAGCATGGCGTGCAACGGCCCCTGCAGCGACCTCTGTCGTGCCATGTGCAGCGTGGCCGGCCAGCCACGGGAGGAGCAGAGCCTGTGCGGCCGAGGGGCGCAGGCAGGGGTCGGGCTCCAACAGGGCCTGCAGGAATGACCGCGCTGCTGGCGAGGTTTCCGGGGGTAATGTTGGAACTATCCCTTTCTGACGGGGGGTGGATTGGGAAATGAGAAGGAGGTGGTGTGGGGATAATCTGGGAGGTGCTTAACGTGGCAGTGAAAGTGCGGTGCAGGTGATGGAGTGAGTTAAGGTCCCCACAAAGCAAATGCGATGATCAAGCGACACCCCGGCAAGCGCGGTGCTTGTCCCACAACAGCCTTGCATGCTGGGTAGCCATGCATGCTGGGTTCAGCTGAAGGAGGCTGCATGGAATGCACATGCGGAAGCAGAAGCTCTCCACCATACATGCCAGTGCGCACAAGACTCCCTCCCACCCACCCACACCTCATCTGCCCACTGGCCCCCCACATGCCAAGCCCCTCTCCATGCACGCCCCTCAGTGCCACCCCCTCCCATGCGCGCCCCTCAGTGCCACCCCCTCCCATGCGCGCCCCTCAGTGCCACCCCCTCCCATGCGCGCCCCTCAGTGCCACCCCCTCCCATGCGCGCCCCTCAGTGCCACCCCCTCCCATTCGCGCCCCTCAGTGCCACCCCCTCCCATGCGCGCCCCTCACCTGCATAGCCTGCCACGTGGCATTTGAGGCCACGGTGGCGCGAGTGAGTCCACTGGGGGGCGGCCCTGTGAGCAGCACGGCCACCACAGCCCCCGCACTCCACACGTCCGCCTGCGGGCCGTACGCGTGCCGCCACACCTCAGGCGCCACATAGAACGCCGTGCCCATGAAGTCCCGAAGCACCACCCCGCCCTCTCCTCCCGGCAACACGCCCTCGCCATGCTGCACCAAGCTCTCTGGGCTCCCCGCACGCTGCTCTGCCTCTCTCTCCGCAGCACCCAGCACTGTCTCCCCTGTGATGCTGCTGCTGCTGCTGATGGTGGTGCTGCTGTTGTTGGTGCTGTTGGTGGTGGCGGTGCTGGTGGTGGTGGTGGTGGGCGCGGGGTGGAAGAGAGCAGCACTGCCGAAGTCAACGAGCTTGATGGCGAGCGAGTGCGCGTCCGACAGCAGTATGTTCTCTGGCTTCTGACAGCGGGGGGATGGGGGGAGGGGATGGGAGGCGAGGGCAGGTGGTGTGAGCACGAGTGGGGAGGAGGAGGTGTGGAGCTCACAGGCAAGCGCGATCATTGACTCCCCTGCATCCCCCTCTTCCCTGCAATGTGCATGTGGGTCACCGCTCCGCCACTATGCTTCCCCCATCATCCCCCCATCAGCCCCCCATCAACCTGCCATCCACTTGATCCATACAGACCATCTCGACACCGCCCCATCCCAGCCCAGCAACGAAGCGACCTGTCAGATGTGCCGCTATGTGTCAGCGCCCACTCGCCCCATCCCATCATGCATGGCATCGCCGCCCCTGCCGCCCCAGCACGGCCCCCTGCCACCCCACCCCGCCTCCCTGCCTGCCCAGCCCGCCTCCCGGCAAGGCAGATGCTCACCAGGTCGCGGTGGGTGACGCCCCTCGCATGGCACAGCGCCACCGCCTGCAGCAGCTGCCGCGCTGATGGCGGGCGGAAGGGCGGGCAGGGGGAGAGAGGGGAGCGGATGGGGAGAGGGGAGAGGAGGAGGAGGTTGAACACGGGGGAATATAAGGGAATGGGGGAGGGGAAGATGGGGATGGGGGACGGGGGAGGGGGGGAAGGGGGGGATGGATGAAAGACGAAACCGTAGCTTGAGTCAGAAAGTGGCAGTGCATGGCAACCCATGAACGCACCGATGTGAGCGGCATCAGCCTCGGTGAAGGAGGAGCGAGCAGCGAGCGCCATGAAGAGGTCGCCGCCCTTAGCCTTGTCCGTCACGATGTGCAGGTGCCGGCTGTCCTCGTGCGTGGCTAGCAGGCGGATGATGGGCGGTGAGACTGGTGCTGGTGCTGCCCACAGCTGCACGGGGAGAAGGGGGGGGAGGGAGAGAAGGGGGGAATCCTTGGGCTTTCTCAGTGACGAAGTGCAGGTGGCGGCTGTCCTCGTGCGTGGCCAGCAGGCGGATGATGGGCGGTGCTGGCGGTGCCCACAGCTGTCGGTGGGGAAGAATCGTTGGGGAGGGATGAGGTGCGATAGGGACGTGTGAGGGAGGAGATGAGAGGCAGGTGAGCGGGCGTGAAAGTGCAGTGGGGGAAAGGAGGTTGTAGATTAGAGGCTCGCCTTGGAGAAGGCGCACTTGGAGAGGGGGCACTTTGGGAGAGGGCAGTGAGCGAGGCAGCAGGGCAGCAAAGGAAGGAGGTGGAAGACGTGGCATGAATGATGGAACCAGCAGCAGGTGGGTCGAAAGCGAAAAGACGGTGTGAAAGGAATGAGTGCAGGGAGCGTGGATGGGCGGAGAGCAGGTGGAAAGAGGGATGAAGGAGGGGGGGGGCGGAGGCCTACCCGCTGCAGGGCTTCGATCTCGATGGTCTGATGGCAGCTCACATGGCAGCACAGGTGCGGCGCACGTGGAGCACAGGTGAGGAGCAGGTAAGAGGGGAGGAGGGGCACAGGGGAAACGGAAGAAGCACGGGGGAGAGAAGGACGTAGTGAGTTGTTTGAGAAGGTGAGAGACGTCAGGAGTTAGAGGGAACAGCAAGGGTCAGCATTGAAAGAGTGGTTTGATGGGTGTGATGGGTGTGATGGGTGTGATGGGTGTAACGATGGGTGCGGTGGTGCGGTGGGCAGGAGGGAGCAGCACTGACGCGGCTGATGTAGGCAGGGCGAGCCGCCAGCACCTTCTTGGAGCATGCCTTCACTGCCACCACCGCCCCCGTTGCCCTCTCCACCGCCTCCCTGCTCCCCCGCATGCACACACACACGGGCGACGGGCGAGCGGTGGTGGTGGTGGCGAGCGAGGGGTGAGGGGCGAAAGGAGGGGGGGAGGGAGGGAAGGGAGGGGGAGGAGAGGGAAGAGGGAAAAGATGTGTTTTATGAAGGCATAGGAAGTGGCGAAGGGCACAGGGCCGGTGGGGAGTTGCAGCAGCGTGGGAAGCGAGGGGAAAAGGGAGAGCAGGCGGGGGTGAGTTGTCGTGCATGTGGTGGTGGGGAAAAGAGGGGGGCGTGCAGCGGAGCAAGCGGGGCCGCAGAGCGCACCTGACGGAGGCCACGCGGCCGCACCCCAGAGTGTTGCCCAGCAGCTTGTAGTGAGCTTCCAGGGAACCTTCCGGCCCCACCTTCGTCGCTGACGTCAGCATGGGTTCCTTGACGTGCTTGTGAGGGGGGAGCGATGATGACGTGGCGGCATGGAGTGACGAGGACGGCTCCACCGCCGTGCTGGACAGGCAGCAACCCATGGCGACTGGCGATGACGATGGCGACGGCGATGCTGACGACGGCTGTGACAATAGCGGGGGGGCGGGTGCCGCGGTGAGCGTCGCGGCGTTCACCAACTGAGTTTTTTCTTGGCGCTAGCGCGCTTCGCTGACCGCTGCTGTGCGCAGACGCGGGTGGACGTGACCACGTGGAAGATGACCCGCGCCCCTCGCATTCACGCCGCGCGGATTGCCCTCACAGCACGTGACGGCGCGACGCGCGGGCGTGCGCATCGGCGCTGGTAGCGACCGGCGCGCTGAGGTCGGGGATGGCGAGCGGCGAGACCCGCTGCGCGTGTGTTCGAGCGGCGAGCTGTGGCGGTTTGAGTTGACTCAACACTCGTGTGCGCAGATTGCGGCGAGCTGTTGCCACACGAGTGCGTCTTCACGCGCCGAGCACGCCGCTGGAAAGACACAGCGTTCTCCCGGTGGGGTCTTCGTCGCCCGCATTCCCCGCCTCTCCCGCGTCAGTCAACTGGTCGTGCACTCGCTTGGTGCCGGCAGGAGTGGCGAGGTCAGGAGGTGACTACTGCATTGCGCTGCTGCACGCACTGCGTGGCACGCGACGCCTGCTGCTGAGAGCACCGCTCCGTAAGAAGTGGGAAGTGAAATGAGCACAAGAGTGACTGGACGGGTGCCAGCCCTGCATTGCTGGGAACAGGAGTGCAGTGGCATGGCATGGCATCACACTTATCGCCTTGTGGATCTGTGATGGCGCGTTTCAGAAACAGTGGTGGTGTGGTCAAGGAAATCGTGACGTGCAGGAGTCGTCGTGGCACGATTTCATTGAGTCGGAGCCACGTGCGGCTGACTCGAAAAGAATACGCGAATCGGAGCCCAGCCATGTGAACACCGTGCACGGAATGCCGTCGGATATTTTAGTTACACAAGTGGTGGCACTGTAGCTAAGAAGGGAGGTGTAGTGATGGCAAAACGATTTACTTCTGTAACGAGTCTTGCGAAAGGAGGGGGGGAGGGAGCACCGATACGACCTCGACGAAATGTTTGCGCCCTGACTAGTAGCACCGGTTACCTTTTGTGAATTCGCCTTCGAAATTCCGTGATTCGCAGGAGCCAGCACCCATCCCAGCTGTCACGAAAGAAACCCTATTTTTTCCAACACTCGTCGTAGACCCACGAAGTTGTGCAAAAGAAAAGCCACCATAGAAAAGGGTGCAGGTTTACAAGGAGAGTGCCTCGCAGATTCCAATCCTCGTTTCTGCCTCGCCCGTCACGGTGTTGTTATGTTTGTTATGACACACTGAGAGTGCCACTATCGCGATCACTATCGCCGTCGCTATCGCCCTTCAGCGGTCGCCGCCATGCTCAAGGACAAGCGTGCCGCCTTCCTGCGGCAGCAGGAGCGCGTGCAGGCGCGCACCGTCGTTGACCATGCCGCCGCCACAGCCGCCAGGCGCCAAGCCGCCCCTTCCCCCGCCGCCGTTGCGCCGGCGAGCACCGCTGTCGCGGGGGAAGTTGCGGGGAGCGGAAAGGGCATTGCGGTGGGGTTTCAGGGGCTGCAGGCGGAGAACTGGCTGGCAGACGCGGGGAAGTACGAGGCGGTGCTGCGCGTGCGACAGCTGCCGCTGGGGCAGAAGATCAAGAAGGTCATCGACCTCCTCTTCCGGGTAAGCGCGCCGCCACGCCTGCCCCTCCTTCCCCTCCTTCCCCTCCCTCCACGCCCTCCCCCTCCTTCCCCTCCCTCCCCGCGCTCCTCCCTCCACGCGCTCCTCCCTCCACGCTCAATTCTCCTCACCCCCCCTCACGCTGTAAGGTACAGTTCAAAGCACCAGTGACTCACTGCACCCCCCTCCCCCGTGCCCTGCCCTCCGTCTCCCCCACACCCCGTGCGCTGCCTTCTCCCGCTTCCCCCGTGTGCTTGCACACACCAGGAGCGGCAGGGGCTGACGGCGGAGCAGGTGGAGGCGGTGACGATGGTGGACGTCACCACCAGCCGCGAGCTGCAGGCCAGCCTGCGCGCCAACCCCAAGGTCGCCGTGCATGGCAACACCTACATCTACAAGGTGCGTGTGCTCCCCCTGCTGGCCCCACGCCCTCTGCTGCCTTGCCTGTGCAGCCTGTCGCCTTTCTTTGCTGCGTTGCGGCGCCCCGCTGTTTCCGCCATTCCACACCCCCCCACTGCCCATCCGACCTTCCGCCAACTCCCTCCATGCTTCCCCCATCGCACCCTCCCCGCCTCTCCCTCCCCATCTCTCCCCCGGCCTCATGGCAACGCATCCACCAGGCGAAGCACGAGCTGGCAGGGCGGGACGACCTGCTGAGGCTGATCCGCGAGCACAAGGACGGCATCCCCATGGGCGACGTGCGCGACTCCTACAGCGGCGTGGCAGCGCACGTGCAGGAGCTGCGGGCGTTGGGGCAGGCGTGGGTGCTGTTCAACGCGGACAGCGGCGACGAGGTGCTGTTCCCCAACGACCCGCGCATCGCCATCAAGGTGGACCCCGACATCCGCGCTCTCTTCCGCCGCATTGACCTGCCGCGCGACCTCACCGACCTTGAGAAGGAGCTGCAGCGCTGCGGCCAGAACCCCGCCATGCCCGCCGTGCGCCGCCTGCAGGCCCTCGAAGGCGCCATGACCGCGCAGGTAGGGGGTGGGGAGAGAGAGAGGGGAAGGGAAAAGGTGGGGGGTTGGGGGGTGTTTTGGGGGTGGTGCGTGGAGAAGGTTTGGTTTAGGGCTGTGTGGATGTGCAGGCATGAGGCAGTAGCATGCCGTGCCTGCTGTGCCTGCAGGCCTTGAAAGGGCGCTGGTCACAATGGTGAGAAGCGAGGTGGTTGAGGTGATTGGAGGAGGGAGCGGGGAAGTTGGGGGAATGCGGCATGGGAGATCTGCTTTCTAGAGCACTGGCTGAAGGTAGTGCTGGTGTGGGGGGGTTGCATGTGTTGACTGTGCAAGTGAGAAGCCTCCTCCATATCACTGCCCTTGTTTACGCCCCTCCAGACACAAAAGCCCAAGGCGAAGAGGAAGCGAGAGTCGAAGCGCACCAAGTACACCAACAACCATCTGCCAGAGCTCTTCGCCAGCACACCCATGTGATCGCCCTTGCTCTCGCCTGCTCACTTCGTTTGAATTCCGTTAGCCTCTTGGTATTGAAGCTTACCCTACTACCGTAGCCCAATGGCTTCATGGTGGGCCATTGTGTAGGCAATAGTCATGGCAGCTAAAGTGGCATGCCTAATCCGAGTGTTCCTCCCTTGTACATATCTCAGGAAAGTGTCTTCTATTATATTCATTTTTGTTCCAAGCCTGTTGGTACCGTAGTTGAGGTTCAGAGCATTGTGGTACTACTACAGGATGGCTAGCAGTTTCTGTGATAGGATTTGTGAGCTAACGCAAACAAAAAAATATCAGAATCAGCCAAGCGTAACATGATAGTCCTCGCCCGTTACCCTACCACTTTCGCCACTTGAATCTCACTGACACACCAGCCACCTCGCCTTCGAGGGCTTTCCTGACAGGCGGGAACGATCTGCCACTTGGCAGCATGCATCGCACAGGTTTTCGCGGGCTAAGTTGGTGGTATGCCACGCCCTTGGTTCTGTTCTCAACCGTCCATGCCCGTGCCCGATTTCAGCAGGGTTGCATATGCCATGTCCCTCTCATTCCCTGCAAAGCCCCATCCATGTGTGGGTCACCTTCAAATCTGCAATTGCAGACAGACTGTCCTCTGCTCCCGAGTCCCGCTTCCCAACAAAATCGGTTTTCGTTTGTGTCCCATTGCGAATCCGTCAAGTCACCGATATCCTAGACACAACCTAGGTCGTTTTGACCAGGAATCTAGATCTCGAAGTGCTTAGCTCGGAAAATGGTGAGCTACGTTTACTTGGCGTTTCGCCGCAGTAGTCGTTCATGAGCATCTCTGCATAATCTGAATGTTCTGTCGTGTCCCCCGTATATGCAGGCTCTCCCTGGTCAGACAACACCTGAAGGTTGCCCCAGCTTCAAGCTGATTCTTGTTGGTGATGGCGGTACAGGTACGCTTCTCTTTTTACACAGTTCGTTTATGCGACGCCTAGACAGGAGCGTTAATTTGGTTTTTTTTTGCTTGTTTCAGGAAAGACGACCTTTGTGAAGCGTCACTTAACGGGTGAATTTGAGAAGCGCTATGAACGTAAGTTTAAGGTTGTCATGGTTTCGGTTTTAGCGTTACTTTTCAGCCATCGTATCAGCGTTAACAGTCACCCCGTTTTTCATGCCGCAGCCACTATCGGTGTGGAAGTCCACCCCCTTGATTTCTACACCAACTGCGGTCGGATTCGCTTCTACTGCTGGGACACAGCAGGTCAAGAGAAGTTCGGCGGTCTTCGTGACGGTTACTAGTAAGCTCTTCCACGATTGTCGACACTTTCTCCCCGTTCTAAGTCTGCTACGCTAGTTCACTCCACCGAAGTTAGTTGTCACCGTGTAGCCCATAGCGTAGTATTGAACGAGCTAAAGGAAACCGATCGCCTGCATGGGAGCAGATCGGTGTGATTGACAAGACGAGGTGTTGTTTATTGGCACTGCGGTCAAGCTTTAGGGTTAGTAGAGCGGAGAGTGCGAAGGATTGGCCAAAATAGATCGTAGTACTTAACTAGCGCCTGCGTTTACGTAGCCCGTCTCGTTGCCCTCCTCCCTTTCGTCCGATCGTTTTCAGTCTAGAGACGACCTCAAGCTGACCCTCTTATATTTTCCTTCGCATTTCAGTATCCACGGGCAATGTGCGATCATCATGTTTGACGTGACATCGCGGCTGACATACAAGAACGTCCCTACATGGCACAGAGATCTGTGCAGGTAAGCTTGAAGCTTGTTGGTTGTGTTACGAACGAAACATTGAAGACACGCTGCTTATTCTTTTTCCTTTACCTCTTTCCCAGGGTGTGCGAAAACATCCCCATCGTCCTCTGTGGAAATAAGGTTGACGTGAAGAACCGTCAGGTGAAGGCCAAGCAGGTGACTTTCCATCGCAAGAAGAATCTGCAGTACTACGAGATTTCTGCCAAGAGCAACTACAACTTTGAGAAGCCGTACTTGTACCTTGCCAGGAAGCTTGCCGGGTAAGTTCATGATCTTTATTTAACTAACTTGAGGAGTGTGCTCTTTAAAGGCTTTCTAAACCCCCCTGGTTACTGCGTACTGCTTTCAGGGATGCTAATCTTCACTTTGTGGAGTCGCCTGCTCTTGCACCACCTGAGGTCGCCATCGACCTTGAGCAGCAGGCCAAGTAAGTAGTAGTTTAATGTCAATTACCAAGAGCGATCATTGTGAAGGTCGGTCATTCATTTCCTGTGTTTTGAACTGTTTGCAGGTACGAGCAAGAGCTTGCCGCTGCTGCTGCTCAGCCACTTCCAGATGAGGATGATGACTTGGTGGAGTAAAAGGTTGGCTGGACGTTATCCACACGCGCTGACCGTCAATTAGCTGCAATCATACAAATCTTTATGTATGTTTGCATTGATTTAGGCGATTCATACAAGGTGCCTTTAGCTTATCCCGTATTTGTAGTGTCACCAAATTTCATAGGCTACGTTAGTTACCAGATTATATGTGAATGTGTGCTATTTCAAATTCATTTTAAACTCAAACCGCTGTGCACCCTTCTCACGCCTGATCGATTTGGAAAAGCGAGGAAATGTAAGGAAAATACATTATCCTTACTTTGCATCCCTGCTCAATGCATACACCACTGTTCCCGCCAACAACCTTCAACAGTGCACCGTTTCCACTCGCGACACTCGCCTCGACCACTGTTCCCTCCACTGTTCACGACGCGACCCAACCAGGGCCTGGAAGATATGCCACAAGTAACCATCATGTGACCCGATAACATCAATGGTAAAAAAAAAAATGCGTACGGTAACTGTATCGAGTATCCTGACGGGCTTGGTAAGTGGGGTCATGGATTCAGTCACTAACAACAGGTAAAAAATCACCCGAATGGTAACACATGAAACTCCCGCCATAAATTCCTGAAACCAGGCCGATTTCCCGCTCGCGCCAACTCGTGCGGAGAGGTTTGATGCACGCCTGTGCTGTCGAGCCTGCAGCCCACGGTAACCACACCACGATCCGACGTGCTGTACACCCCCCTGCTCGCTACGGTTCCAACCAATTTCCCGCTCGCGCCAACTCGTGCGGAGAGGTTTGATGCACGCCTGTACCGTCAAGCCTGCAGCCCACGGTAACCACACCACGATCCGACGTGCTGTACACCCCCCTGCTCGCTACGGTTCCAACCAAGTACGCAACCTTGATCCCAACGCATCTCTCCAACTTACTTCCCGCCATCAGCTATTACTCACGCTATTACTAGTAGCTATAGCTTTTGCTAGCTGTCTTCCCCGTCACGCATCCAAGGCGTTCGTTAGCAACACCTGACGTCTATCAACGGTGCGTGCCTTAGCCCAAAAGCCTTTTCCCATCCGTTCACGTTTAGTCCCTTGTTACTCGAAAAATACTACTAATACATATAAAAGAATCGATCAGACCGCTGTCCCAGCGGCCGGCGCGCCGCTCCGCGCATCGCGCCGATCGGGCCTGATCGTCGCGAGATGCATCGAGATGATCAGGAGCAGCCGCCGTCGCGATGTGCATTGCGGCCAGCTTCGGGCCGCAACGCGCTTCGCGCCGACCGGGCCGCCGCCGTCGAAATGCGCAATGAGGCCACCTTGCTGGGCGCATCACGACGATCCGCTACCATGATACGCCAAGCCGCCAGCCCGCCGCTCAGCGCGTCGCGCCTCTCTGGCCACCGCCGAGACCAGGGTGTGAGGGTGTGGGGGAGCCAGGGGAGTGGCATTGGGGTGGCGGGTGTGAGACCAACCAGCCCCCGTCCCTCTGAGGTGGGGGGGGGGGGGAGGAGAGTAAGGGGGTGGCAGGAGTGTTAGAATATATCTGTAACTGCCTGTAGCTGTAGTTAGTGTAGTTATTATAAACTTGTTGGTGGTGTACCTTCTTTGCATGCTGTTTGCTATTTGTACCTCGCTCCATAGTGAACTCACCCACTCTTTGCCTAAACTCTCTCGACTCCCTTTGGCCTAGGCTAATAAGCCTAGGCCCTACTCTTACTATTCAACATGGTATTCAGAGCAGGCACCTTCCTGCTGCCTTCCTTAACGGGCCCACCAAGTCTTCCGCTGCTGTCCTGCCTTTCTCGCACTATGGGCGCGCGGCGGTTTTCTGCCCGTTGCGCCGCCCTGCTGAACGCGCGACGCCCTGCCTGCCCGTCGTGCGCCCCGAGGTGCGCGACGGTGCCCTGCCTGCCTGCCCGTCGTGCGCCCCGTGGCGCGCGACGGTGCCCTGCCTGCCCGTCGTGCGCCCCGTGGCGCGCGACGGTGCCCTGCCTGCCCGTCGTGCGCCCCGTGGCGCGCGACGGTGCCCTGCCTGCCCGTCGTGCGCCCCGAGGCGTGCGGCGGTTTCGTCGCCTGTCGAGCGCGGCCCCCCCCAGGTCGCCTCGACAGGCGACGGGAGGGGCGACCTGGGGGGGGCCGCGCGTCGGAGCAGCCGCCCCTGGTGCAGCCGCCCCTGGAGCAGCCGCCCCTGGTGCAGCCGCCCCTGGACCTCAGCAGCCGCCCCTGGCCCCTGGAGCAGCCGCCCCTGGTGCAGCCGCCCCTGGACCCCGCGTCGCCGCCCCTGGACCCCGCGACGCTGCCCCTGGACCCCACGGTGCCGATCCTGCAGCTGCATGCGACGCCGTTCCTGGACCCGGTGCAGCCGCCTCCCTGTGCTGCCGGTTGCCGCCCGTTGCTGCCCGTGCCTGTGCTGCCCATTGCCGCCCGTTGCTGCCCGTGCCTGTGCTGCCCGTTGCTGCTCTCCCCCCCCCCCGCCCCCCTTCTTCGTCTCCCTGCTGCGCGTGCAGCCGTGGAACGGAGGGTATGAGGGTGGCGGGTATGGGGGTGATGGGTGGTGTGTTTCCCTTCCCCTCCTCCTCCTTTCGTTCCCACTGCTGCAGCTGCCACTGGGGGGAGGGTTGTCAGAATCCCAACCACTAGACCATTGGGATAAAAGGGCTTGTTAAGTAGCGGGTCAGTGCGCCCATAACCCCCCAGGACAACGAGCCTGTAACCCTTCCCTAGGATCAATCGGGGATCACCAGTGGACCTCTGACACCCCCCCGCACTGGGATGCCCGAAGTGCACACACTGGGATTCGAACCCGAGACCTTCGCTCTGATAACATGTCAGAATCCCAGTCACTAGACCATTGGGATAGAAGGGCTTGTTAAGTAGCGGGTCAGTGCGCCCATAACCCCCCAGGACAACGAGCCTGTAACCCTTCCCTAGGATCAATCGGGGATCACCAGTGGACCTCTGACAAGGGTGTGAGGGTGTGGGGGAGCCAGGGGAGTGGCATTGGGGTGGCGGGTGTGAGACCAACCAGCCCCCGTCCCTCTGAGGTGGGGGGGGGGGAGGAGAGTAAAGGGGTGGCAGGAGTGCCTGCCCCTTTGCTGTTGTACCTGCTTTGTTACCTTGCCTGCTGTTGCTGTTTTCTCTGTTCGTGGTGTACCCATCCAGGATGTGTCGCTACACAGACTCCTGCTGCAGGCAGTTATGGGGGAGTGTTAGAATATATCTGTAACTGCCTGTAGCTGTAGTTAGTGTAGTTATTATAAACTTGTTGGTGGTGTACCTTCTTTGCATGCTTTGTTTGCTATTTGTACCTCGCTCCATAGTGAACTCACCCACTCTTTGCCTAAACTCTCTTGACTCCCTTTGGCCTAGGCTAATAAGCCTAGGCCCTACTCTTACTATTCAACACAGGGTTCCCATGCACTCTCGTCTGCTAGCCTCCCCTCTCGTGCTCTCTTGTCTCCTACCCATCTTTCTCTCACCCCCTCTCATACACACTCATCCCCTCTCCATCCCTCTCTCACCCCCTCTCATACACACTCATCCCCTCTCCATCCCTCTCTCTCACCCCCTCTCATACACTCATCCCCTCTCCATCCCTCTCACCCACTCTCATATACTCTCATTCCCTCTCATACCCTCTCATCCACTCTCATCCCCTCTCATACCCTCTCAAACACTCTCATCCACTCTCATCCCCTCTCACACACTCTCATCCACTCTCATCCCCTCTCACACACTCTCATTCCCTCACAGACACTCTCCTACACTCTCATACACTTTCATCCCCTCTCATTCGCTTTCATCCCCTTTCATCCTCTCTCATTCCCTCTCATACACTCTCATACACTCTCATACACTCTGATACACTCTCATCCCCTTTCATCCCCTCACACACTCTCATTCCCTTTCATCCCCTCTCACTCACTCATTCACTCATATTCCCTCTCATTCCCATTCATCCACTCTCATTCCCTCTCATTCCCTCTCACTCCCTCTCATCCACTCTCATTCCCTCTCATCCCCTTTCATCCCCTCTCATTACCTCTCATCCCCTCACATACACTCTCATTCCCTCTCATACACTCTCATTCCCTCTCATACACTCTCATCCCCTCTCATTCATGGTCATCCCTTTTCATCCCCTCTCATACACTCTCATACACTCTCATACACTCTCATACACTCTCATTCCCTCTCATACACTCTCATTCCTTCTCATACACTCTCATCCCCTCTCATTCATGGTCATCCCCTTTCATCCCCTCTCATTCCCTCTCATACACTCTCATACACTCTCATCCCCTCTCATTCACTCTCATACACTCTAATACACTCTCATCCCCTCTCTTCCCCTCTCATCTCCTCTCATCCCTTCTCAACCCCTCTCATTCAATCTCATCCCCTCACATACACTCTCATCCCCTCTCATTCACTCTCATTCCCTCTCATTCCTTCTCATACCCTCTCATCCCCTCTCATCCACACTCATACACTCTCATCCCCTCTCATCCCCTCTCACACACTCTCATTCCCTCTCATACACTCTCATACACTTTCATCCCCTCTCATCCACTTTCATCCCCTTTCATCCCCTCTCATTCCCTCTCATACACTCTCATACACTCTCACCCCCTCTCATCCCCTCTCATTCTCTCTCATCCACTCTCATAGACTCTAATACACTCTCATCCCCTCACACACTCTCGTTCCCTTTCATCCCCTCTCATTCACTCTCATTCACTCATATTCCCTCTCATTCCCACTCATCCACTCTCATTCCCTCTCATTCCCTCTCATTCCCTCTCATTCACTCCCATTCCCTCTCATTTCCTCTCATCCCCTCTCATCCCCTTTCATCCCCTTTCATCCCCTCTAATTCTCTCTCATACACTCTCATACACTCTCACACTCTGATACACTCTCATCCCCTTTCATCCCCTCACTTTCATTCCCTTTCATCCCCTTTCATTCCCTCTCATACACTCTCATACGCTCTGATACACTCTCATCACCTTTCATCCCCTCACACACTCTCATTCCCTTTCATCCCCTCTCATTCACTCCCATTCACCCATATTCCCTCTCATTCCTATTCATCCACTCTCATTCCCTCTCATTCCCTCTCATCCACTCTCATTCCCTCTCATCCCCTTTCATCCCCTTTCAGCCCCTCTCATTCCCTCTCATCCCCTCTCACACACTCTCATCCAGGGGAGGGGCATGGATATCCGCCACATCCACTTGTCTCCCCCTTACACGGGAGTCTTTTTGCATCACCCATTTGGTTCGAAACTTCAAAAACAAGTTCAGGAAAGATTTGGACGGACGAATTCTTGCAGCTGCCGCGGCTCTGACACCGCTCGTGTACCTCAAGACAATGGAAAAAATTGAGATGGAATGTCCCGGTGGATCCTCGTACCTTGTGGACAATGGATTGGGCGTTAAGTGGGCGACAGCTTATTTTGGAGCACCGCGTTATGGGTGCTTGTCTTCTAATCCCGTTGAGTCTCACCATGCGTCACTTTCGGGATTGCGGGATAAGAATCCGACGCAGGTGCTGCTAGGCTTGGCATCTAGGCTATCGACGAAGATCGAAGAGAGACGTCGATTGTACTCCGAGATGACAGCCGCTGACTTCCCCCCCAGGACAAAGCCAATAGTCCTTGGGAATCGCGATGAGGGCAAAAGATACAGGGTGGCTGAATCGGGAGAGAACGAGTACATAGTGTGCCAAGGGGAGGAGTCGCGCGTCGTGACCACAAACCCCGAGGATCTTGCAGCCACCCACTGCTCACGTGGCTACACCAAGTAAGTGGTGTTTAGGTTCTGTTTTTAGGGATGTGGGATGATACGGCATCATGGGATGACAGGGCAGCATGGGGTGAAATTATATTGTTTTCCTTAAACATGACTTATCCTATGGGAGGGCACTGTTCGTATATTTGTGAGCTGCCTTGGGGGGGGGGGGGGGGGGGGGCACTGTTCGTATATTTACAGGATGCTTGATAGTTTCAGTCATGCGTTAATCCATTTTTACCTCTTCGCCCATCTATCCCAAAAACAGGGAATATGGGCTGCCATGCGTACACATCTTCGCCGTGTTCAGAAATGATGGTCAGAAGGCGCACGCAGTGATCCAGAAATATCACACAACTCCTGCACTGCAACAAGTGTACAGAACGCCGATCCGACTCCTCGACCCAACCTCTGTGGTCCATGACGGCGTTACCCTCCCTCCGGTCTACAAGAAGAAGGCAGGTCGGCCACCAAAGCGAAGAATGCGGTCCACAGGAGAGATGGACCCAATCAAGTTGCGCAAGTGTGGAAAGTGCGGTGAGTACGGTCATAATGCCCGAACATGCGAGGTCCGTGCAGCCAACAGAGTGTTGTGGGAGGCTTTGCAAACCCCCGCAGGGCAATTGTCAGTGCAAACAATGACGGACGCAGATGGTGCAGTGCATGTAGCCCTGTGCAACGCTTGCAACCGAACTCACCGCAGAGGGATTAGGTGTCAAGCCATGCGTAGACAAGGACAGCCGGGTGATGTGGAGGAGGAGTCGTGCAGCGAGGATGATGGGAGTGTCGGTTTGGTTGAAGGGATTGGTGAAGAGGATGAGGAGGGACGGGATGATCGTGACACCGTGACATATGGTGGGGCGCTGATCGATGTGTTTGGTAGGGATCCTGGAACTGCCGGTGATGTTGGTCTTGGTGAACGCACAACCACGAACTCAGACTTGCCCACTCAAACAGATAATTCAGGGGCGACACAGATAGACATCACACAAGAGAGTCAGGCGGGACGAGTGTCGGATACTTCGGTGGCCGAGCGGGTGGAAGGGCTGAGGACTGCGGAGGACGTGGTTGCAGGGCGTATACGGCGGATACAGGGATTACTCCTGCAGCGTGATGTAGCGAGACAGGCAGGAGAGGAACGTACATCAACTAAAGGTAGGGGCAGAGGCAGGGGACGCCATGCAAGCACAGGGCAACAGGGAAGAGGAAGAGGGAGAGGGAGAGGCAGAGGCAGATATGGATCTCGGTCGTCCACGGAACAGCAGGGCGGAGCTGAACGGTTGGAACAAAATGGTGGCAGCGGATTGGAAGGGATGGAAGGTCAGCAAGGGTTGAGAGGGCAGCAGAGAAGGGGAGGACAGCTGGGGTTGGGAGGGCAGCAAAGGATGGAAGGGCAGCAAAGGATGGGAGGGCAGCAGGGGATGGCCAGGCAGCATGGGATGACAGGGCAGCAGGGGAGCAGAGGACAGGCGGGGTTGGGAGGGCAGCAGAGGATGGGAGGGCAGCAGGGGATGGGAGGGCAGCAGGGGATGGGAGGGCAGCAGGGGATGGGAGGGCAGCAGGAGATGGCAAGGCAGCACGGGATGACAGGGCAGCAGGGGAGCGGAGGACAGGCGGGGTTGGGAGCGCAGCAGGGGATGGGAGGGCAGCAGGGGATGGGAGGGCAGCAGGGGATGGCAAGGCAGCACGGGGTGACAGGGCAGCAGGGGAGTGGAGGACAGGCAGGGTTGGGAGCGCAGCAGGGGATGGGAGGGCTGCAGGGGATGGGAAGGCAGAATGGGATGACACTGCAGCAGGGGTGCGGAGGACAGGCGGGGTTGGGAGGGCAGCAGGGGATGGGAGGGCTGCAGGGGATGGGAGGGCAGCAGGGGATGGCCAGGCAGCACGGGATGACAGGGCAGCAGGGTAGCGGAGGACAGGCGGGGATGGGAGCGCAGCAGGGGATGGGAGGGCAACAGGGGATGGGAGGGCAGCAGGGGATCGGAGGGCAGCAGGGGATGGCAAGGCAGCACGGGATGACAGGGCAGCAGGGGAGCGGAGGACAGGAGGGGTTGGGAGGGCAGCAGGGGATGGGAGGGCTGCAGGGGATGGGAGGGCAGCACGGGATGACAGGGCAGCAGGGGAGCGGAGGACAGGCGGGGTTGGGAGGGCAGCAGGGACTGGGAGGGCTGCATGGGATGGCCAGGCAGCACGGGATGACAGGGCAGCAGGGGTGCGGAGGACAGGCGGGGATGGGAGGGCAGCAGGGACTGGGAGGGCAGCAGGGGATGGGAGGGCTGCAGGGGATGGGAGGGCTGCAGGATACGAGAGGCCAACTTGGGTCCCAGGAAGCGTTACAAGGGCAAATTGGGTACGTTCAAGCCCTTAACCAACGATGGGGACGCGTGGGAATACCAATGTACGGGAATGTTGCAGGCCTGGAGCATCGTTGGAGCCATGTGGGCATGCCATTGCAACGGGAGGTTGAGGGGTCGGTGCCTAGTATGCACAACAGGACGTCGTGCCAACAGGGGGACGATATCAGTAACAACTCTTTGCAGTAGAACTTGTGGGCTATGCATGATATTTTAGTCATGGTTACAGGATTGACTTCAAGAGCGCACTGCAACTGGTTTGATAGCATGTCTTTTTTTTTCTTTCGACTGTGGCTCTGCACCGTCACAAAAATACTCCCATGCAAGCGTATGGTACCAATATTCAACAGTTAAAACAATCAGTATCAAATGCTCAACATCTTCTAGTTATTTCTTTCAGTTGTTTGTGTTGTTCAGTGTGTCCATTTTTAACAGGACGTTGTGGGGCAGGTAGGTGAGCATGGGAGTTGTTGAATAAATTACCTACCCTTAATCACGGCAATGGTTGACAAGTCGTGTCATGTACATACCTGTTGTGGCCTATTGAAATGTTTTTAACAATACCGTACAGTCATATGGGCATGCCACCCCACCAGTAGGTTGCGGGGTTAATGCATGGATTGCACAATAGATCTCATTGCCAATAGGGATAGAGAATAGTAGCAGGTCCTTGTAGATACTACACTTGGGACTATGGTATGCATGGTTACCGTAGTACGGTAAGTTGACCTCAAGAGTCAAGAGCGAGTTTCATCTAGTTTGCTTGTAGTCTGGCATACCTACCCTCGTCCACTTAGTTGTGTCAACTTAGCAGTTTTGCACATGTGCGATTGCTAAAAGCAGAGATGGTATTTGATACGAATGTTTCAGAACCTGCACGGCAGCATGCAATGATAAAAGTAGATGAAATAGCATACAACGCTAGAAACATATCTTTTTTTTTTTTTAATGATCCGATCAGCTCGGTGTCCCACGGAGAAGCCACACTTCTACCCGAAACCATTCCCCCCTAATCCCTAAACCATGCTCGCAGAACTATCCAGCTCTGAACCGTCCAAATTGACAATGAAATTTCTCCGCACCACGCTTATCGTCCCATATACCTCATCGACAACACCGTCTAACCAGCCATTTATAAGCCGCCCACACCAATTTACCCACCCTCTAACCGTCACTTTAGATAACATTTATAGGTGTATGCACTAAGTCAGCTCCTGCCTTCTCATCTCCTTCCGTCATCCGTTCTCATGCACCTTCCATATGTGTTCTGCAGCCATGACCTTCGCAGTCCTCAACCCGCACCCGTCCTCGGCCACCGATATATCCGGCACTCTTGGTGGGTCCGTCATCGTCATGGTGATGTACCGTCTCCCTTGTAAACACTCTGACTGCTGTCTTCCTATCTCTCCTGGCACCAGATATGCATCCGACGGCATGAATCAAACTAGCTACCGAGACCTTCATGGTACTGTTATTGGACCCGTGTATGACAATGCGAAAGGGTCAGAACGCATCTTTGCTGCTTACCTCTCCACCTAGCCAACTCAAATTCTGCATCGAGTTGCACCATACCTCGATAAGTTTTTTCGCGACTAAAAAAGTAGAGCTCCCTAATCAGATTTTGCCGACAATACAACCGAACATCCTCCCTCGCTTCTGCGGCTGATGGATAAACTTTCCCCTGGAATATGTTGCATACATTGAAGTCTTGCATATCTACATGACTAGTGCACCAAACGAAATGGAGATAAAGGAACATCAGATTGCAATTTCTGTGTGAAATCTGGCATTACAATGGAGCGTACGAAGCATCGCAATGTCAACCAAGAGTATTAGGATCTGCAAAGGTCAACCCTAAATACATGGGCCAGACCTCACCTGGCTTGCAGTGGGTGAGACATGACGCTGATCCCAAGTGCCAAGAGCTCTGATGGATAATGAGCACGGGAAGATAACGGGGAATGAGAGTGTATATGATATGAACGGGGAACCAGGACCAGAGAGGTGATGAAAGTGGATGAGAGTGGATGAGAGTGGATGAAAGGGACTGAGAGTGGTTGAGAGTGGATGAAAGGGGATGTTAGTGGTTGAGAGTGTATGAGAAGGGATGAGAGGGGATGAGAGTGTATGAGAGTGTATGAGAGTGCATGAGAGGGGATGAGAGTGTATGAGAGTGTATGAGAGTGTATGAGAGGGGATGAGAGTGAATGAGAGTGAATGAGAGTGAATGAGAGTGTATAAGAGTGTATGGGAGTGTATGAGATTGTATGAGAGTGTATATGATAGTGGATGAGAGTGAATGAGAGTGTATGAGAGGGGATGAGAGGGAATGGGGGTGTGTGTGAGGGGATGGGAAGGGATGAGAGTGTATGAAAGGGGATGAGAGGGAATGAGAGTGTATGAGAGTGTATGAGAGGTGATGAGAGTGCATATGATAGTGTATGGGAGGGTATGAGAGGGTATGAGACTCTCATCGAGTGTATGAGAGGGGATGAGAGGGGATGAGAGGAAATGAGAGTGTATGAGAGTGAATGGGAGTGTACTACAGGGGTTGAGAGTGTATGAGAGTGTAGGAGAGTGAATAAGAGTGGTTGAGAGTGTATGCGAGTGTATGAGAGTGGATGAGAGGGGTTGAGAAGGGATGAGAGGGGATGAAAGGGGATGAGAGGGGATGAGAGGGGATGAGAGTGGATGAGAGGGAGTGAGAGGGGATGAAAGGGGATGAAAGGGGATGACAGGGGATGAGAGGGGATGAGAGTGGATGAGAGGGAGTGAGAGGGAATGGGAGGGAATGAGAGTGGATGAGTGGGAATGAGAGGGAATATGAGTGAAGGAGAGTGAATGAGAGGGGATGAAAGGGAATGAGAGTGTGTGAGGGGATGAGAGGGGATGAGAGTGTACAAGAGTGTATGAGAGTGTATGTGAGAGTGAATAATAGTGTATGAGAGAGGATGAGAGGGGTTGAGAGTGTATGAGAGCGGATGAGGAGGGATGAGAGTGTGTAAGAGAGTATATGAGAGTCAATGAGAGGGGATGAGTGGGGATGAGAGTGGTAGAGAGTGAATGAGAGTGTATGAGAGGGGATGAGAGGGAATGGGGGTGTGTGTGAGGGGATGGGAGGGGATGAGAGTGTATGAAAGGGGATGAGAGGGAATGAGAGTGTATGAGAGTGTATGAGAGTGTATGAGAGGGGATGAGAGGGGATGAGAGTGGATTAGAGGGAGTGAGAGGGGATGAAAGGGGATGAAAGGGGATGACAGGGGATGAGAGGGGATGAGAGTGGATGAGAGGGAGTGAGAGGGAATGGGAGGGAATGAGAGTGGATGAGTGGGAATGAGAGGGAATATGAGTGAAGGAGAGTGAATGAGAGGGGATGAAAGGGAATGAGAGTGTGTGAGGGGATGAGAGGGGATGAGAGTGTACAAGAGTGTATGAGAGAGTATGTGAGAGTGAATAATAGTGTATGAGAGAGGATGAGAGGGAATGAGAGTGTATGAGAGTGTATGTGAGAGTGAATAATAGTGTATGAGAGAGGATGAGAGGGGTTGAGAGTGTATGAGAGGGGATGAGGAGGGATGAGAGTATGTAAGAGAGTATATGAGAGTCAATGAGAGGGGATGAGTGGGGATGAGAGTGGTAGAGAGTGAATGAGAGTGTATGAGAGGGGATGAGAGGGAATGGGGGTGTGTGTGAGGGGATGGGAGGGGATGAGAGTGTATGAAAGGGGATGAGAGGGAATGAGAGTGGATGAGAGTGTATGAGAGGTGATGAGAGTGCATACGATAGTGTATGGGAGGGTATGAGAGGGTATGAGACTCTCATCGAGTGTATGAGAGGGGATGAGAAGGGATGAGAGGAAATGAGAGTGTATGAGAGTGAATGGGAGTGGATTACAGGGGTTGAGAGTGTATGAGAGTGTAGGAGAGTGAATGAGAGTGGTTGAGAGTGTATGCGAGTGTATGAGAGTGGATGAGAGGGGTTGAGAAGGGATGAGAGGGGATGAAAGGGGATGAGAGGGGATGAGAGGGGATGAGAGTGGATGAGAGGGAGTGAGAGGGGATGAAAGGGGATGAAAGGGGATGACAGGGGATGAGAGTGGATGAGAGGGAGTGAGAGGGAATGGGAGGGAATGAGAGTGGATAAGTGGGAATGAGAGGGAATATGAGTGAAGGAGAGTGAATGAGAGGGGATGATAGGGAATGAGAGTGTGTGAGGGGATGAGAGGGGATGAGAGTGTACAAGAGTGTATGAGAGTGTATGTGAGAGTGAATAGTAGTGTATGAAAGAGGATGAGAGGGGTTGAGAGTGTATGAGAGTGGATAAGGAGGGATGAGAGTGTGTAAGAGAGTATATGAGAGTGAATGAGAGGAAATGAGAGGGAATGAGAGTGGATGAGTGGGAATGAGAGGGAATATGAGTGAATGAGAGTGAATGAGAGGGGATGAAAGGGAATGAGAGTGTGTGAGGGGATGTGAGGGGGTGAGAGTGTATCAGAGTGTATGAGAGTGGATGAGAGAGAATGAGAGGGGATGAGAGGGGATGAGAGTGTATGAGAGTGGATCAGGAGGGATGAGAGTGTATGAGTGTGTATGGGAGTGTATGAGAGGGGTTGAGAGTGTATATGATAGGAACGGGGAACCAGGACCAGAGAGGTGATGAGAGGGGATGAGAGTGTATGACAATGTATGAGAGGGATGAGAAGGGATGAGAGGGGATGAGAGGGGATGAGAGAGAATGAGAGTGAATGACTGGGAATGAGAGGGGATGAAAGGGAATGAGAGTGTGTGAGAGGGGATGAGAGGGGACGAGAGTGTATCAGAGCGTATGAGAGTGGATGAGAGTGAATGGGAGGAGATGAGAGGGAATGATAGAGTGTGTGATAGGATGAGAGGGGATGAGAGGGAATGGGGGCGAATGAGAGTGTATGAGAGTATATGAAAGGGGATGAGAGCTCATAAGAGTGTATAAGAGTGTACGGGAGGGGACTAGAGTGTATGAGAGTGTATGAGAGTGGTAGAGAGTGAATGAGAGTGTATGGGAGTATATGAGAAGGGATGAGAGGGGATGAGAGGAGATGAGAGTGGATGAGAAGGAATGAAAGGGAAATGAGAGGGAATGCGAGGGAATGAGAGGGGATGAGAGGGAATGAGAGGGAATGAGAGGGAATGAGAGGCAATGTGAGGGGATGA